GGGGGTGGTAATAGTATGTGAAGTTAGTCTTTCAGCTGCAGTAGGAAGGTTGTAAAATATAGCAGAGCAACATGAAGCAAGTGAAGAGTTCTACTAAAGCTTTATGATACTGAACAAGCTAATGTATTAGTCTTACTGTACTCATTTGTATTATAAACATAATATATATCTACATTTATTGTAAGCATTAGAGTAGATAAAACAATGACTTGGAAAGTTCTTTGTACAGTGAAATTTTATACAGCTGTTATTTTCTTGCTAAGTCGACAAATTACATTGCCAAATGGTGACATGCTTTTCCTTGGCACACTAGCTGCTGACTGTCCCTGCACTCCTAATGTTCATGCCAAGTCATCCCTAGTGTTATCTTGCCATTCTTTACAGCGCTGCTATTTCAGATCTCTGATGGAGCAGTGTCAAGTGATTGATGATTCCTGAATAAAAATTCCAGGATGCTTGAGGTAAAAAGCCTGAGAGCATTGTTGCCAGTATACCCAGGGATTTCATATTAGTAGAGTATAACCGAAAGAGTTCTCAGCAGTTTCTCTAGCTGCTCAAAAGAGAAAAGAATAAATCTTTTACTTTCTGCTAAGATAATTAGTTTTTTACTAGATATACAAGAAGGTGAAAGGATTGTTCCTTGTCTGCATCTAATGACAGTTTCAAATTAAGAGGCCTCAAGAGTCTCTTTCAGTGATAGCATCTGTAGCACCTATCTGTTTATCTTTCTACTTTGCTTTTAATATTTTTGCAAAATTATCTCATTTGTGCATTTTCTCATATGCAAATCACGACGCTGGGCTAGATGTTCCCATGTATAGTTGTTGAGATTGAAGAGATGCTAAATCCCAGGATTGTGATGGATATCTTTCATGGCTGGTTCTGAAGGCTCTGAAACCATTTTTCTGAAATGTGAATTTTTTTTTAGAAATGCAACCTTAGAGGAGGCAAGAGAGGAAAGTCATTACATGTTTGTATATTGCTTAAATTCTCTTACTGGAACAAGCACTAAGCTGTGACTACTGTTTTCTTTATTGAAACATGGTTATACAGTAGAAAAGCATAATTTTTGGTTATATCCCAGACAGCTTTTGTTTTCAATTAAAATTGTTGAATACAGCAGTCATTCTTAAAATCTGTTACTTTATCTTAATTGAAAAATAATGATGCTTTGTTTTGTGAATTAGACCTGTAAAATTTTGCAGACAACTTGTTCAGTGGAGTTCTGGATTTGTATGTGTGTGTGTGTGTGTGTGTGTGTGTGTGTGTGTGTGTGTGTGTGTGTGTGATATACTAGTTTTTACTTGGGTGATCTAGGGAGGTGTCAGACTGTTTAAAGTCACTTCTACTTTTTATTTTCTTTGGGACAATTGGATTATAAGAAAAGGTATTCAGTACCTTGGATTTTAATCTTTCTGGATCTAACCTTTCTAGATCTCTTTATTTAGAGTTTAAGTTCAAAAGACTGATTCTGTCTTTAGAAGTGCTGTGATACAGGTAAAGACAAGTTTATTTTACAAATGAAGAAAACAACTTATAGTAAGGTTTATAGTCAACATGAAAAATTGTAGTTAAGATTAATATGGTCAAAAATAAAAGTAATGAATTTTTTTGGGAATTGGAGCATGATGATTTAGAACTCATATTAGATTAAACTAGTTTTTTAGCAAGTATATTAAGATTTATTTTACTAGGAAGTGAGATGTGAAGGGAGCATTTGAAAGCTTTGAAAACTGCTATGTATGTGTTGGCTTGTGCTGGGGTTTGTATGCATTTAAAACGTGTAATGCTGTTGTAAATCATCATTAAAAAATGATTGTTTTATGACAATATTTGAGTTATTCTTTCTATAAGTAGTGTTGGATTTGTACTAACTAAATCATACCTGTTGGGTTGTTTCACCTTGGAGCTAAAGACATATACGAAGTCCGACAATTACGTTTGCGAATTTGCCACCATGCGCTTACATTGGCGGCATGTACAAACAGCTCAGTAAGGTTTCATAACCTTGGTATATTAGTGTCTCATAACTCTGTTCGTGTCGACGTGTGGTGGTGTCTTGCTGAGTGTCGTTCATTATTGTTGCGTGTTTTTGTATGCTGTCCTGAGAATATCTGAGCATGAATTAGAGCAATGAACAAACATTAAATGTCTTGTTAAACTTTGCAAGAGTGGAAATGAAATCAGGGACATGTTATTGTTAGTCCAAGTTTATGGGAATAATGCCATGAAGAAAACGGCAGTGTACAGATGGATTAAACTTTTTTCTGAGGGGAGAGAATGCATCATTGATGAAGACTGGTCACAGTGGCCAGTAATGAGCAGAATTGACAAAAACATTGCAAAAAGTCATTGAATGGTGCATAAAAATCATCGGCTGACTGTGAGAAACATAACAGACCAAGTAAACATTGATAGAGAAACAGTAAGGAAAATCTTAACTGAAAATCTTGGCACGAGAAAGGGTTGCAAAAATGGCCCCGAAGGAGCTCACCGATGAACAAAAGCAAAGGAGAGCTGATGTTTGCCAAGACCTTTTGGAGAGGCAAGACGATGTTTTGGGCCATGTTATCACTGGTGATGAAACGTGGGTGTACCAAAACGACCTTGAAACAAAGCATCAAAGGTCACAAAGGAAGTCAGCCAATTCTCCATGACCAAAAACGTTCTGTCAGTCCAAGTCAAGAGTCAAAACGATGTTGCTAACTTTTTTTGGTATCAGAGGGATTATTCGTTATGAATTTGTACCACTGGACAAACAGTTAACCAACTTTACTGTTTGGAAGTGCTGAAAAGGCTGCATGAAAAAGACAAAAATGACCTGAACTTTTCACCAATTCATGGCTCTTGCATTACGACAATGCACCAGCTCACACGGCACTGTCTGTGAGGGAGTTTTTAGCCAGTAAACAAATAACTGTATTGGAAC